GTGAGGGAATTTTTTCACAATTTTGGGACTTTGTGGATCTGGAGGGTTTTGGGGATTTTGGGGGGGGTTTTTTTAGGATTTTGGGATTTTTTTCTGGGGTTTTTGGGGTGCTTACTCTCCTGAGGGCTCCCCACAGGGGCAAGGCCTGGGTAAGAATTTGCTCCAAAAATCAAAATTCATGAGGGAAATTTTTCACAATTTTGGGACTTTGTGGATCTGGGGGGTTTTGAGGAGTGGTTTTGGGGATTTTTTGGGGTTTTTTTTTAGGATTTTGGGTTTTTTTTCTGGAGTTTTTGGGGTGCTTACCCTCCTGCTTACAGCAGCAAGGCCTGCAGGGGAATTTGCTCCAAAAATCAAAATTCATGAGGGAATTTTTTCACAATTTTGGGACTTTGTGGATCTGGGGGGTTTTGGGGGGTGGTTCTTGGGATTTGTGGGGTGTTTTTTGGGGATTTTGGGGTTTTTTTCTGGGATTTTTGGGGTGCTTACCCTCCTGAGGGCTCCCCACAGCAGCAAGGCCCGGGTGAGAATTTGCTCCAAAAATCAAAATTCATGAGGGAAATTTTTCACCATTTTGGGACTTTGTGGATCTGGGGGGTTTTGGGGGTGGCTTTTGGGATTTTTAGGGGGGATTTTGGGGTTTTTTGTGGTCTTGACCCCCTCAGCAGCTCCAATTTTGGGCTTCCACAGCAGCAAGGCCTGTGCGAGAATTTGGGACAAAAATCAAAATTCATGAGGGAAATTTTTCACAATTTTGGGACTTTGTGGATCTGGGGGGTTTTGGGGGGTGGTTTTTGGGGTTTTTTGGGGTCCTGACCCCCTCAGAGGTTCCGTTTTTGGGGTCCCACAGAGGCAAGGCCTGGTCGGACGACACGGCCCCGCTAGGCCCGGACAGACACGCCCGGGACGTGCCCGCCCTGGATAAATACGCCGAGGAGCGCTGGGAGGTGAAAATTTGGGAGATTTGGGAAATTTTGGGAGGATTTGGGGGTTTTTTTTTTGGG